GTTGAAGGAGAAGCGGTTGTGAACAAAAAACTACCGTAATTCAAAACGTTTCTACGGCCCTTCAGAACAGACGGAGAAGGACTTGACGCAGTCAATGCCCTGACCACAAAATATATATGTTTAGATTGGGGAAAAAAATAAAATATTTTTTTTTTTAGTAAAAAGAACAGACGGAGGAAGAATGCCGATAAAGGGGAATATTTGTACCGCCGAGTTGAAATGGGGGGGGGGGAATCCTTGGGATTTTCTGCGGGTAAATTAGGGGTAGCACGGATGACGTTACCTAGTTTGGGGTTACGAAACGCCTGCAAGAAAACAACCAAGCTCAGAGAGCACCAAGGGGAAGGAATAAGAAGAATAGGTAGAAACGGTAAACAGTCACAGAATTGGAAGGGACCTTGGAGGTCATCCAGTCCAACCCCCTGCTCACGCAGGAGACCTGCACTTGGGACTCGAACCACCGAGCTGCCGACCTTTCTGATCGACATTAATTCATTTGATTAATTAATCTGATCGAGATTAGATTTGGCTTTAAAAAAAAACACCCTCTCAAGTCCTTCCCAAGGACCTGGGAGATAGGCTGGGCAAAGCCTACCCTAAACCATTCAGAAGGCCACACTTATGCCCAAGGCTGTGTGTTCAATTCCGACCCGGTCGCAACGCGCTGAGTAGGAACAACGGAGAGACTGGCACGTTTATTCGCTGCCCTCCTCCGGTTGGCACCGCTTCCAGACTCCAGCCGAGGTGGGGCGGGATCCCTCAATCGAAAGCCCTCGAAGTTAGCCCGTTCAAGGCCTGGGATAGGATCGCGGTGGCAAACAGAGTCCCGCCGAGGAAAAACTCCCGAATAGACACGCTCGCTTCCCCCTTTTCTCTAGACTGGTGGCGATCCTGCCCGGGTTTGCGCTTCAAGCGCCCCTCCCCCCCCCATTCCCGTCGCCAAGTCCCGAAAGCAAACTCGATAGGAAGAAGGCCCCGCGAACGAAGGAGACGGGCGGTTAAAGAAATATGAAATAGAGCTAATTAAAAAGCCAGTTTCGATCCTAAACAACCCCCCCCTCCCTTGGGGGGGGGAAATAATACCCCTTCCCCTTTGGAAACTAGTTTCGGGAAATAATCAGATATTTCTCACGGGTTCCGAAAGTTTTAAAAACCACTTTAGAACGAATTCGGCACGCTTCTTGAAAAGCCCAACCTTTATTTTGAAAAAATATATACATTTAATTTCTCCTATAAGTGGACTGAATCCCCAAAACCCCTCTTAGCTTTCCATTTCATTTCCTTCATGGGAAGACTTTGGAAGAGAGATTCCTTCGGCTTTTTCCTCTATCTTCGTACCCCAGTAAGTTATTTTAAGCAGCGCTTCCTTAGTAAATGGGATCCACCTGGATAGAGAGGCGCGACAAGTTACCTTTCGTTTTCAAAAAAGCAAAAACAAAACACCCACACACAAAAAAGGCCCCCAAAACTCCATATTTATTTTTATTTTTATTTTTGAACCGGCGGCTTCCTTATAAAACTGACTTCCAGAACCAGAAACCCCAGCCTCAGTCTTTAAACTGAGCGGGCAGGTTAATAAATAGCCGTTTATTTAGTTGATATTTTGCTAAAAGGGAGGGGGGGCGCAAGGACGGGCGGAAAACCGCCGTAAAAAAACGACGAGGGATAATTAGTAACCAACTTGTCAAAAGCCG